GGCTGAGCCACCGAGCCCAGCTTCTTTATTTCTTGATAAGGAATGTTCCAGGCCAAAGGGCCACTCTCATGTGGCTGAAGGAGGGGGTGGAACAATGGAGACTGCCTTTTCCAACAGTTAGCACACTTCCCTACCCTCAGTCTATTTCATGCTACCTTTCCCTCTTCCTTCCTGTATTTGCCACATCTCTTTGTGTCCACATCTGTCCTCAGCCCTTGTGCAGCTCAGAATAAGGGCATTCTTATTGACTAGGGCACACTCAGGCCTTACAGGGCACTTGGCACAGACCAGCATTTAGCAAATACTCAGTGAAGCCAGGCTCGGTGACTCAGCCTATAATCCCAGCGCTTTGGGAGGCTGAGGTGAGTGGATTGCCTGAGCCCACGGGTTCGAGACCCGCCTGGGCAACTTGGCGAGACCTCATCTCTACAACAAATCAAAAAATTAGCTGGGTGTGGTAGCGCGCGCCTGTAGTTCCAGCTACTTGGAAGGCTGAGGCGGAAGGATTGCTGAAGCCCAGCAGGTTGAGGCTGCAGTGGCCAGGAGCAGCCACTGCACTCCAGTCTGGGTGACAGAGTGAGACTCCAACAAGGTCCTGGGGAGAAATTACCAGAAATGTACTCCAAGAAATGATTCCCCAGTCTCCCTGGAGAAGGACCAGGGCTTCAGCCACCCTCGGTCAAATCTGGTCCTGATCATACCTGATAGAAGCTTGGGAGCAAAGGACAGTGGTCCTTGGCAGGTAAGGACTCACTGTACCCCAGTTGACCCCACGCACCAAGGCATAAGCCGGACCTGGCAGTTTATAGGTTCTCAGCAAATGTATGTTGGTAGACTTAGGCCTGGGAAGGGGGTGGTCTTACAGGGAATAGAGGGGAGGAAAATATGGGGAAGTCTCTTATCACGCAGGATGGCTTACCAGCAGGCCTAGTACAAAGAGGACAGGATTTGAATCCTGACACCACTTCCTAGCTAATTAAAGCTTGGGCAACTTATTTCCTTTTTTGAAGCTTTATTGTGTATGATTTACGTACCATCAAATTCACCCACTTTAAGTGTATAAATCAATGACCATATATGTACAGAGTTGTGCAGCTATCACCATCATCTTACTTTAAATCATTAGACAGAAACTTTGTGCTCTTCCCATTCCCACCAGAGTCCCTGGCAACCACTATTTCTGTCCCTATAGATTTGCATTTTCTGGACATTTCATATAAATGGAGCCAGGCTCAGTGGCTCAGCCTGTGATCCCGCGCCTTTGGGAGGCTGAGGTGAGTGGATTGCCTGAGCCCGCGGGTTCGAGACCCGCCTGAGCAGTGAGACCTCATCTCTACAATAAATCAAAAAAATCAGCCGGGCGTGGTAGCGCAGGCCTGTAATTCCGGCTACTCGGAAGGCTGAGGCGGAAGGATCGCCGGAGCCCAGCAGGTCGAGGCTGCGGTGGCCGGGAGCGGCCACGGCACTCCAGTCCGGGCGACAGAGTGAGACTCCAACTCAAAAAATAAATAAATAAATAAAAAATAAATGGAATCATGTGCTCTATGGCCTTTTGTGACTGATTCTTTCACTCGGGTTCGGCATGTTGCAGCATGTGTCAGTGCTTGCATTCTTTTTATTGCTGAATATCCCACTGTGTGGGTGACATGTTGCTTACCCATTCACCAACTGATGGACACTGGGTTGTTTTTGCCTTTTGGCTACTCTTAATAATGCTGCCGTGAACATTCATGTGCAAGTCTTCATGTGGAAATGTGTTTTTATTTCTCTTGGGTACACACCTCAGAGTGGCATTGCTGAGTCATATGGTAACTCTATGTTTAATCTTTATTTTTTTATTTACTTATTTATTTATTTTTTTTAGTTGGAGTCTCACTCGGTCGCCCAAACTGGAGTGCAGTGGCCGCTCCCAGACACCGCAGCCTCGACCTGCTGGGCTCCGGCGATCCTTCCACCTCAGCCTTCCAAGTAGCCAGAACTACA